TGAAAGGGTCCCTTCTACAACCCATGGGGGCCGCTGAGTATTAATAAGGTAAGAACTCAATAACTTTTTTATCGTGAACGGTGCCTTTAAATACTGATAATGTATTTTAGCAAACCACTTTGCTAGGTATTGCACAATGAGTATTTGAACTCTGCTCCTTTGCAAACTTCTATCAACCGCTTTCTAAAACTTAGATTTCCTGCAGCATTGCGAATTTCCGCTCACTCTGCATTCATAATTCGGGTTCGAGTCCCGACCGAAGTTCCGTTCATGCGTAAGCAACTGCATTTTTTTCGCATCGTCAAGTGCAGAAAGAGCATTCAAACAAAGAACACCAAGTTGTACGGGAACTAGGGTATCTTCTGCCCAGCAAATGTTTACGCGTCAAACGACACTGAACTGTAAAGTCGGCTCTCTTAGAGCATCATTATCGAGGTAAAACGTCAATTTCTTATCAAATTTTCTCCAAAGAATTTTGATATATCGTCTACTGCTCTGCTATTTCCAAGTAGTATAAAAAATTCACCACAGCATCTGTGAGCGCATATTTCGCATCAGCTTCATCGTACAAGGGGAGCATTTTCAAAAGATCCTTCCTGAAAAGGTTTGTACTATGAGCGATGTATTATGAGGTACCTCTTCGTTGTGCAATCGTAATGTGATGCAGCAATATCTTCCAAACAAATCTCGGAATTAGATTATAAATCTGTTCATCTAAGGTACACCGTTTTTGCTTCCTGACGAGAAAGCCAAAAACTGGTCAAGAGCATTACACAGAAACAACTCTATGATTTCTATAATTCAGGTTACAAAGACATAGCTCAAATGTAGTTGAAGTGTCACCGCACTGAGCTGTCCCTAATGCCGAAGCTCACAGCGAATAAAAGGATGAGATGCAAGCTTTGCGGGATTGCTTCACTGATGCTCGAATACGATGCTTAGCCAGAAAGATTGATTTTTTTGCACCCGATAAGAGCATAAGGTTGGTGATAAGCTGGCCTCCTGCAGAAAAAGGGAGTAAAAAATAAACTGACCGTAAGAACATCTACATGTAAGGCTGTTGTATACCCTAGGGCTTCGTTGCCTTGCAAGTATTAGGTGTGTGCATTAATTCCCACCGCCGAATTCGAAGGGTCGTTGCGAGAACCATGTTAGGGGTTTACCGGTGAAACCTGTCATATTCTGTAAGATAGAGTATTGGCTGCATACTTAAGGGCAGACAGATCAGTTTTTCCCCGAAATCCCGTTGCTCTAAGGCTGATTGGTCATGGAACTTGATGAATCGTTTTCCCGTGGGACCCTTCGCTCTTGATTTCAAGAAAACTGGCATTGAAGCCCACCGGATGCTTTTCGATAACTATGAAGGACGAGTTCCTTTTGAACGAACCTGCAAAGATGGTTTCTCTTCACTCGAGAGTTTGCAACGAAAGCGGAATGTCCATTGCCAAAAAATAATGCTGTGTGTGCATTTGATAGTGAGATCAAAAGGTTGTTGTGTATTATGAGCTGCTGAGCCCGAACGATACTGTTACTGCTGACCGGTACGAACACAAACTTGACAGTTTGTAGAATGCTCTAACCAAAAAGCGGCCGTTAATCGCAATGAGGTGCTGTCCACTACGAACATGCCAGACCCCATGTTGCGAAGAATGTCCTTGAAAAAAAGTTGGACGGGATCAGCTTGTTCTTCCCGCATACTCTTGAATCTTCCTCCTGATTACCACCTATTCCGGTCTATGCAAGTCAATTTGGTAGATACACGCTTCCGGAATGCCAAAGAAGTGCGAAAATGGGTGGATAACTGGATTGTCTCAAAATATGAAGACTTTTTTGGACGCGGAGTCAACAAAATACCAGAAAGATGACAAGAAGTTGNAGCTAACGATGGGCAATACATTGGTTAATGTACATTTGGTTCTCATTTTGTAGTAAATATGTATGTTTTTGCACGCAGAAAACGGCGGAGATTAATGCACACACCTAATATCAAATGCTTATGTGCAGAACAACACAACATGGTTTTTAGCTACGGTACAGTATTCGCGTGACGTTTGCAGAATGCAACGTATTCAAATAGGCAAAAACCATCGATTCTTTTCGGAGTGCTACCTATCACGCCTCCATGAATTTTCCTCAACAGATTTCTTCTCATTCTTTGAGGAATTTTTGAATGTAGGGTTTACGTAGGTTGCTTTTTATATTTCGGAATTAGAGAACAAAAATAAATATTAATCATTGGAATTTGCTTCAATGTTTTCATGAATCTCTATTAAGATCTATTATAAGATATCACTTTTGCACGCGTTTGAACCAGTTGTCGAAGCACTTTGCCACTCTGATTGAGGTATCTCCAAAATATGCATTCTGTACGCATCAGCCGCTTCTTCAGATGTCAAAAAACGCTGGCCTCTCATTTTATTTTTCGCGTACGGGAATAAAAAGAAGTGCAAAGCCAGGACTACATGGCGAATTACTCATAAAATCGATGTTTTGACTCCTCAAAAATGCAATTGTTCGAGCCCATGTGAGAGCTTGTATTGTCGTAGCAAAGAGTTTTTTTCAGACAAGTTTTTTTGACAGTCAAATGTTCATGCAGTAATGAAGTATGCTGGTCCCATTAATGCCCGAGGTTGTTTCAATCTCACGATAGGTCATATGACGAGTTACATGACGGGTTTCCGCAGCAGCAACTGATTTTGGACGACCTCCACGAAAGTCGTCTTGGAGTGAACCACAACCTCGGATGAATTCACAATACCATCGATTAACATTGGTCCTTATCGCCAAAAATTGAACCACCTTCATCCATGCACTGTTTTTAGGTTAACCCACGTCGAAAGTTGTAAAAAATAATCGTCGAAAATGTCACGATTTAATGAAATTTTTTGGCCCCAATAAATCTTTTGGGTTAGGTCTTTCTGGGTACATATCACCTTAAAAAGGTCAAACTTTACGATGGACCTGTCAGTTGCCAGATTGCAACACTTGGATAGCCAATCTCGAAATAAAAAAGGCAACCCTCGTATAGGGTGAACAAAAGAGACTCACGGAAGTGATAAGTTCGGTTGAGCAGCGTTATAGTCATACTATTGTACTGATTCAGCACATATTCTGCATGTTTCGGTGACTAGATTTCAAGATTAAACGGGCCCTCCCCTGAGAAAGGACAACACTGGTCGGTCTTCGAGATAATATTTTCAATGCTACAGGTTTGTGATGATGAAGCCGTTTATTTGGTCGACGTTTCAACTAATTTGTCGTCTTCAGGAAGCTGAGAGTAGCTGCTTGGCTTACGCGACCAAGAGCCCTAACGCGCTGTTCCAGTTGCAACAACTCCCAGAAACTCGAACACCGAAACGTCCCAGCCAAGAAACCAACCTTCTGCAGTACCACCAGTCGTCCTACTCTTTTTCGTGAACAACAAGAAACCAATTGATGGTCGTTCGATAAAATAGCGCGGTGATCTCAAAGCCCACGAAAAGGAATGAATGAAAAGGAATGAATGACAGGAGCTCACGCATTCATTTCGGTTCAGCTTACGATCCTCTCGCAGATGTACAGCGCTTTCAATATCTTTCTAGCATCGATTTCATTCCGTGGGCAAGGATTTTGCATTTGATATCAAAATCTTTGCCCCAATGTTCCCCTGGTCGATGTCTCCCAAGTGACGTGAGTAGACTTCCTCGCCTTTTACCTGCTAGATGTCCTTTGACGCGTATGCCTTCACCTTCAGCAACCTTCCCGTTTCGCTAATAAATATTTCGCCACAGGATGAACACTGGAGTTGGTATACCGACCGTCCCTCGCTGTGTGCAATCTTCCTTCCGAACGGACAAACAACACAATTATGTGTCGCACATGCACTATCATAGTCTGTCGCGGATCAGAAAAAGTTCGACATTGCCTGGTGGTACTACATTTATCAAGATAACATCTAAGCCAAATGCGCACGTGCAATGCATTGTCGTATTTCTACGCTGGTTTTGTCTGATATGAAGCGTCTGAGTGACCGTTTATGTCTGATGCACTATACTCTCATGATTTTTCAACGAGTACCCTTTTAAGCCTGACGTGTTTTGCTTTGTCCCATAACCATTAAGGTTTGCAATCGCAGAGGATAGCCTACGTGACTCCATTCCACACTCCCGTAGCTGTTCTGTACATGTTACAAACTACTGCATGTTTTACAACCCCGTGGCGAGCAGACTAGGAGTAGGATGGCCTCCGAGCTGCCCTTCCGATACCATTTCACGTTGTACCTTCTATTTGAGATGCTTATCCGCGTGTTAAGTTAAGGAAGCCAGCCTTGATGCGGGACCTTCCTCGTGAACTTGATATACTGTGACTGTCGCTTGAAGATGTCAAACAGTTCCTCCATTTCTTGCTACGCTGTAATTACGCAGCAGTCATCGATGTAACAACGGTATGTAATGGGCATGCGGCATGCCTTTCTACTCTGCTCACAAAACAGATAGCTAAGACTGGTCCAACCGCTGACTTATAGCAAGCCCTCGGCTTTGAGTGAAGTATGGCCTGCTCCATTTGGATCATAGCAGTTGAGGCATTCCTTGATCAGTGCCACAATGTGAACCTTGCTCAAACCGAACGTCACAATTTCCATTTCATGCTGAGCCATCGTTTCGAATAACATTTGCTCCTTAGGAGAGCTTTATTGTTGTTAACGTTCCTATAAAGCGCAGTCACGCAGAACGACTCCACTACGCAGGTTTCTTAACGCTTCAAGGCTGTACATCTGCGAGAAGAATCGTAAGCTGAACTACCGAAATGGGCGCATTGCTGAATAAGTGATCTGCCATTCATCCCTTTTTGTGAGCTTTGAGATCACTGCGTAATCTTATCTAACGACTATCAAAGGTGTCTCATTGGTTCTTTGTTGTTCACGAAAAAGAGTAGAACGACTGGTGGCATCGCACAAGATTTGTTTCTTGGCTAGGATGTTTCGTTGTTCGAGTTTCTAGGAACTGTTGCAACTGGAGCAGCACGTTTGGATGCTCGGTCGGGTAAGCCACAGATGGGGAGCTTCAAACTAATTCAGGTTCCTGGAGAGGACGAGTCAGTCGAAATATCGACCATGTAAACGGTTCCATCATAACAAACCTGTACGGCAAAACGTGAAATATTACGCATTATGCCCAGGTTTCAAGAAGACCGAACGTGGAAATAAAATGGAGAACCATTCGCAGCGTCAAGACAGGGTATAACTAAAAGGCCCAGGTCGCTGACTGACTAATAGTGTGCAGTGCATAGACTCTAGTAGACTATGTAGTACGAGTATGGGTGAACTAGGTATATTCGGGCTCTCTTATTGTGTTTATGCAAAAAGCGCGCTTGAATAGTATGAATCAGTGATGAGAGGGAAGGAAAAATTTGCTTAAAAACACCGGATTGTGTTTTAACACGTTGACGACAATGTCGGTCAATGTTGACCGACAGCCAGTCTGTCTCGTGGGACGATGTCGGTGACCGACAGTGTAAGTCAGCCAAATGGGGAAATTATCATGTTTTTTTGTTTCATATTGTACATTTATTTATTTACTCACTAACTTTAGCGTCGACCCATGATCCTTCTAAATCTAAGGTTTTATGGAAATAGCAAGTATCAAGTCAGGAGTCATACATCATATCAGATAACAATTAAAATTTGAGCTTCTTCCAACATTTGGCGCCTCACCTCTAATCTTGTTCCTGCCAAACGTTTAAATAGCGCCCTCTGTGAATGTTCACGATTCAAAGCCTCATACACCGAAATCGCCTACAAAGCCCATGATTTTGGAGAATTCACCCAAATCTTGACAGAATACAAGTTTTTCTTTTGTTTCCAAGACTTTTTACTTGTTTTACATAAATAGAGGCTTAATGCTTGTGAATACAGTAAACTAAATAATGTTTCTGTTCCGTGGGACGATGCCCGTCAATGGTGACCGACGATTAGTCAGCGCTTTCAAACGGTTTCTCCCGTGGGCGCGCAAACGAAAAACGCTCTCGTCGTCAAGGTGTTAACGCAAAACGCATTTTCAATGAACCTTTGTCTAGTCTTTCGAGCGTGCTTCTTGATCATGGTGGGTTTTGGTATAATACCCATCGAGATATCATAGCACGACAGCCCTCTTTTTCAGAGACAAGAGATGGAGCTGCAACACTGTACACATTAACTTACATGCCATTGTACGTACCGGAAGAATATCTTAAACGAGGCCGCACTTTCCAGATGAAGGAAGAATACATTAGAAATAGAGGCGGCTCATTTTCTTCTCAGAAAAAAGGAAACGTTAGCAGAATTGGTCTCCGTTGCTTTAGCTTCCTAGTGGGAAGACGGACTTTCTTCTACACAATTACGATAGCATGAAGCAATCACAAAAGCAAAGGCGAGGTCGACATCTTCCATTGACTACTTTTCCTGGTCTTTACTGTATTCACGAAGAACAACTGAGCCTTACTGACGTATTATAGATCTATTCTAATCCCTTATATACACCCTCTATGCGCCCACCTTGTCAGGCTCTCCAGAATGACTGAGAGCGCTGCTTCATATCTGGTATACTTACAATATTGTATACAAACTTGGACAGTGAAAATTCGTAAATTAACAAAAAGGGAATGAAACATATGGAACAATCCCTTACTACCTGCGCATGGCTTATCAATAATGAATTATTCTGAAAGCGCTTCCCTGAGTGTAAATCTTCACGATTGAAACGAAGGGTCAATATAGAATTCTTTGCAATTCTGAAAGAATTATGCTCACGAAGCAAGTATCGATTATTGAAAGATTTCCGCATGCAAGCATTCCGAACCTAACTGGAATCAACATTCAGAGCAGCACCAAATTCAAATGTCCTTCTCAAAATAAAATTGTGACTCACCTGTCCTTCTGAAGGTCCTCAAAATGTTGTGACAACACATCGTCATGACGTCGCTTGCGGATGATGTCAATTGCTGACACAAGCAGAGACACACATTCCAATCCAGGATGAGCAATGCGAGCCGCAAACAAAAGTGGAGATTGGCCAGCTGAACTCTTCTCGAACAACTGGAAACAGAGCATGATAGTGTAGAAAAATATTCATTCAACAATCTTGAGAGAGATTGTAGTACGGCTAAATAGTGCGGGCTCAGGTGGCGAAAAACGCCAGGTCGCAGTTCAAAACCCACCATCACCTGAGGGGTACAGTGTATTCGGAAGTTGGAAGAAACACTGCTTTCGCCGGCATGCCTCTCACAACTTTTTTTAGATAGCTGGCTCTTCTAAAGCGCCATATGCCAGCACTTGTACGCTTGTTTCTTCTGCTTTACTACTTGCTGTACGTGATCGTCATAGAACTACGATGAATCGGACTTCTCTGAACTCTCCTAGCTCGTGTTTCCCCGAGCTTTCCATCCCTTCGAGGTCGGTTAATCGATTCCAGACACTTCTGGATGCACTGTATACATACTGGTCTCTTCGAGTCATTGCATAAAGAAATACGCATTCGATACGCCTTTCTGAATGGAAATCGAATGCGGAGATATCTCGCCGACTGAACCTATTGACATCAGAAACTTCATCTTCGTTATCCTTCACATTCACGAGATTAGAATTTTCTGGCGATATGCACCCTCTGCCTCAGAGGCTTGAAGGAACTAGATGAGGAAGTGGAGTTGCATTCTGCAACCAACCACCCTTTCACCGTTATGCCCTGCCTTTTCGTTGATTAGACCAGAAGTTTGTTGTGGTTTTAATATTGGTACAACCGTGCAGAGCGGCTTCGGACTCTTCGAAGAATCTTCAAGTAATGGACTCGCGGGCATCAACAGAGACCATGGAGTTATTCAGGGGACTCCACCTCAACAAAAGCAGGTCAACGACCCGCTAGGCTAACGCCGCAGCTTGATGTTCATTTCTTGTTTTAAAATGTGTTCAACACCCCGTACGTTATAGCTCCCGATCCCAACATCTGTGTCTCCACTCGTCTTGTCTTGTAGTCAATTCTTTAAATGAGTTCTGAGCTATTGACATTAGGAACGTTATTTCTAATTCGTGACATACTGCCGGCTACTTTAGCACTTATAGAATGATTTTGCACCCGTTTAATTTGTGATCGTTTTCTTAGTCCCTTTTAAAATCGTCTCCATAGCTCCACCAACAGAAACGTTCGGCAAATTTTTTAAAGCAAATTAGACAGAGAGCACATCGGCATTCGGAAAACACTGGTTCAAAAACTTGCAAGGTTCAGAAAAACTTACATCTAGCTGTTCACAGTTAATGAGAAGTTGAAGCATTTTTGCATCGTTGTTCGCAACGGCATGATGAAGAGGACCCAGTCCATTTTCATCCACATGAAAATGAATAACTACACAGGAAAATTAGCGAATTTATATACTGGACCGAAATCGTCCCCTGTTTGACTCTAGATTCTTGCTTCTTTTACATTTGACTCCTGGAAATCGAACACATTCCCATTTCTGTCAAGACTCAAAAAAGTTACTTTTAAAAAAACTGCATTCATTCAAACGATAAACTGTAATCTACGATGTTTACTCTACGTGATAGTCGCCTATGCATTCTTTCAAACATGTTCCAAACTAGCCCATTTCCTCAAAACAGATGATTTTCTGGTGCATTAGCAACCAATTATGCCCCGCAACAATGATCTTCCTACTGGTCGTGCCTCCAAATTCCTGCAAAGGGCAAAACATACATAAAAATTCGCAGAGCCTCTCCACTCCACTGGCAGTGGGTCTCGAGGGTGTTAGCAAGCTTTAAGGGAGAAATAGTGGAAGTGTTCGTTGTTTTTAATGTTCCCTCGTAATTCGATTCTACCCCAACACATTGTGCATACGCACTCACATGGTGTTCAGTTTTCCATGCTATTTTTATGAGAAAATCCAAACTTCGTTTCTTACTTTCTTTCTTCTGAAAAGAACCATTTTCAAAAGCCCGTGACTCTTGAATTGAACAACTTGGGCTTGCGCACTGTCCTTACTTAAACTATGACGAACATGAGTTTAGTGCAAGGGAATGCGATAGGTTCCAATAGTAAAAACATCAATTCCTAGAAAAGGTTGAGCTTTGAATACCTTTTACGATTTCGAGCCTGAAGGATTCCTATGCCCATGTCTTTGCACGCTAGGTCCTACCGACCCAACGTACGAAGACACACACAGACAAGACTTTCCACTCACACCAAGAAAGGAAAGCTGCTGGATGGACCACGAAAGGATTTGTAATGAGTCCAAGAGATGCTTGACCGATTGGTTGATGTATGCTATGGCAATGGATGCCCATGCCCAATAACTTGACTATAAAACATGTCGAAAAAGGGACGGAGAAGCCATTTGAGAACCGAAGCGAGTCGAATAATTTTTTTTCTCGTTCTATGAAACCGTAATCGATATAATTCGTGAACTCACTGCGTCTACGAAGGTCTCTTTACTTGAAATCATTTCCTTGACTTTCTCATGATCTCCTCGCCGAACTGCCATCAGAAGAGGCGACTTAGCTAAAAGAGCTCAATTAATTAATAATTCATCCATGACGACAGCGTAAGCGGCATAAATTAAGAAAGTAACTAATGAGATGAGAAACGTAGCCAACGTACCATCCACAATCGGAGTAAACGGGATCGCAGCATCCTGGAACACCGAATATTTGTTATAACACCAAATGGAAACGTTCATATAAAATCGGGAAAAAATATTGTGGAGCAGTGCAACGTGGAAGGACACATTTAACCTATTGGCAACCGCGCCACTTTAGCGTGTCTGGCGTGTGGGACTGAGCGCGCTTTTCGCGGGCGGCTGCTGTGGCCCGCTGGCGGGCCACACGGTCCCAGGAGCAAGTCAATTTTTTCGCAAGCATTTCCAGCCGACAAAAAAGTTTTTTAAATGTGGCATGTAAAGGTTACAAGTCATACACACTATTTAGAGCTATGTTATGGCATCTAATGTTGTTTCTGAATGTTCGGAGGGAGGTGAGAGTTTTTACCAAATCATTTGCAAATGCGACTCTGTCTAGACACGAGGATACAAACAAGATGAGAATGGCATGTTTCGAATCACCAGATACCCAGCAAAGTCCCTTTAGCTCCTTTTTGCACATTTTTACAGCCTTTTTAACAGCCTTTAGTTTTCCTCATTTACCAATGCCTTCAGAAGTAACTTTGTTTTCTCTTATTACTAAATTCAGAAGTAAACGTTTTACGGACCACTGCGCGTCAAGATTCTATAGTAGGTCATAAACCTGCTCGATACTTGAAAGGGTCAAAAAAATCGAAAATGAATGTTATACATACAAAATAATACTGTGGCCCGTATACGGGCCACGCGGTTGTCAGTGGGTTCAATGAATCCAGAAAGAACGGAAATGGACTGTCGACAGGAAACAGATGCATGGGAATATCAAGAAAAGGATTACAAAAAGATCTGAGCTTGAGCAAGATGGCCAAACAGCTAGACATTTTTGATGTCTGTTCAAATCTGTTGAAATGATAGCAACAAGAAGGTAAGCACTTTGGAGTCATCTACCGTTCAACGGACAAGTTCCTGCCCATCAAAAAAAGCGAAATCGAAAAGAAGACTGAAAGAAATTGTGTGCCAAAGCCAGAATGCGCCAAATCGAGGACGTTCTCTGACGGAAGTGTTCACCGTTCAATCGAAGAAAAACTCTCAGAATACCAAATTCTGAGCCTTTTCATCCCTAAACCTCGGCATTTCTGTTGTTCTTAAAATTGTTAATTTTGCTTCTGCCTCGAGGCTGGTAGGTGGAAAACCGCTAATTCTGGCCAACCTTTGACGGAATCATCGTTTTCCAAGGTCTGAAAATGGTTCAAACCCTGTTGATTGGACACTACCCCACCAAGCGCCTCTTTCGCTCTAGCGTTTCTGACGTTTTACCAAGAATGCACGAAAAATGCCAAATTCAAGAGATAAGCTCACCTCACTCCCACCGCAAAGTCTAGCTACGCTACACGATTAGTACATCAGTAGCGAATGATCTTACTTCGCTGTCCTTATGCAATAATATTATTGCGGATCAGCACGTTCGCAAATTTGCATAAATGGCAAGAGATCGTTTGTGATCGTCACACACTCTTTTCGATTGGTCATTTCTGGATTTGTATCTATAGTCCAGAACGCTTCCAACGCTTTCCTCGACGATACTTTCGAGTCGTGAGCCAATATCGTAAACTTTGTCGCGCATTACTGCGACCCCGCGACCTCTTTGTTAAATATATTTCTTTGTGTCCGATGTGCGGTAGTCGGAGCTGAGGCGGGACCCGCCTTAGCACCAGCCTGATTAAGAGAAACTTACGAGTGGTGGTCGTCCTCGTACTCCTTTATCGTCTCGCCGTTATTCCGTTCAATAAATGTTGAATCACCAAACCACTGTATTGGAAAGGGAGATACAATCCAAATGGCTGGAATATAAAGTTCCGTCCCAAATTTCGGTGCATCGGTAAAAGGCTGCTTTCACAGTCCGCCGGCGTGCCAACCGAGGTAGTGCTAGGGGGGAGGAGGGAGGCAGACGGTCGGTCGCGTCGCGCCCAAGCTCCTTCGAAGGGCTGAAAACAAAGAAAAACAAGATCAAAAACTATTTGCATGAGCCCCTTCGGAGGGCAAATGCAAATGATTTTTGATCTTGTTTCTCCTTGTTTTCAGCACTTCGAGGGGGCTGAGCGCGACGCGACCGCGTCGTCCTGCCTCCCCCCTCCCCCTAGCACTATCACGACTGGCACGCCGGCACGACGGCGAACCGGCGGACTAAAAGCAGCCAAACCATTAGTGTTCCGTCCCCATCGAGACCTGGACTAACCAAATCGAGCAAAAGCTCAAATTGCTAAAATACAGCAGTTCATCTCACCTCATCGGCTGATCCCGTAATGGCCTGGAAATAGGAAAGCTTCGTTTAGAGCTGAAACGTCGAAAATGTCACTAACTTCCCACAAGAAACCAAGTAAGTTCAGTGCTAACACACCGAGGAAATCAAACCTGCGGGGGAGGACAGCTCTAAATATGAGGAGTACTGCACCGCAATCAACCTCAGAACAGGTGGAATAAAAATCATCAGATCCAGCCAAGAAAGTCACAAGGTTTGGTGGATAAATTGGAAAAGGCTATGAAGAGGTCAAAACTAAAGGGAATAAAAAGAACATTGTGGATATTTGTCACCTCGTGCGTTCGAGGACGCGGCGGCAAACTGCGCGTTCTCAAACGTTCGTGGCGATTCGAACTAATGCGGCGTCATTATTGGGGCCCAATTAGAAGGATCATCTGACCCTACTAAACTACTCTACTTCAGGTTTGTGCCCCGAAAATTGGCGTCAGAGTCGTACAAATAGTCACGAATTTCGCCGCGTATTTTGCCCTGCGCGTCCTCAGACGCACGAGGTGACCGTTCCCCGGACCTTGTAAACTAAATCGAAGAAATTGATCAACAATGCCAGTTCCGAACGAATCAACTTCATTCTAGAAGCAATATGCAATGAATATCGAGACAATGTGCTCAATTGGCATCAAAACTCGGAACAGATCATCACAAAAGCATGAAGACGCATACTGTCGATAAGCAAAAGGGCAATATCAACCAAAATGTAGTCGATCCAGAAAGTGCGCAATGGCTATCGGACGACGCGTCGGACAGCTCTCGCTACAGAGAAGACGTAGCCTGTCGTGCATTGAAGCCCAAACAAATCAATCTACCTCTTTTCAACGGGGGTGAAGAAGAATTTCTCGAGTACTGGGCAATACTTGGAAACGAAAACATGTGCTGAATACAGTAGAGAAAATGCTTCCACTGAAAGATTCCCTTAGAGGGAGAGCCGAGGCAGGTTGAAGGAATACAACTCATTCCACAGAACTAAGGTGGATGACCGGAGAGCTAAAGAAGAGTTCGGCAATAAGCCAATAAACAGGGCCAAAGTCGTCCAAAAATTGATAGATTTGCGAGCTCTCTTCTTAAGAAGAGAAAATTTTAAGCTCCAACACCATAATCGCACTATATTCCGTTATATTCTGCACTGGCTGCCAACATATTCCACACCACTCCGTTCAACCGCACACCACGTACAGGCGATCGTTCAACCACGACTCACTGCGTCCAGCCGACATGCACCGCACCGCATCGACATTACGAAAAAGGAAAATCTTCAACTTTAGTTTGTACTGGTTGTTGTTAATGGTTCTTCTAGCGTGGGGAGTGTCGTGCATTGCCGCGACCCCGCGACCTCTTCATTAAATATATTTCTCTGTGTCCGAACACCCAGGTGTGTGGCGGTCCAAAAAGAAGAGTGGAAATGATTTTGTGATTTTTTGATTTCGGATTCTGAAGGGGCTGCCGTTTTTGCATTTTGTGCTGCCACCTCCAGATTGCCCCTAGACACCTTGGGATCATCGTCGGGACCGGAGCCAGTGAGC